ATACGCATCCAATTAAAATGTTGATCATCGATCACGTGACTTTCGAAATTTTTTTGGGTGGTGATTTTACCCCCGTTCAAGCCTGCGTTATAAAGCTGACCAGAATTATGCCAGCTGGCCTGAATTATAAAAATTACACTGCGCAGTGTCACGGGAAATTTTGGCAATCCTTAATTACTTCATAATTTATTAATTAATACGTATATTATATTTTTCCTTTTATGTATATGTTATTGTTATTTACAGTATTACTTCATTTTTATTATATTTTATTACTTCATTTTGTTATATTTTTATTATTACATATTCGCTACGTATATATTACTACATTTCCCTTATAACTTTTCCCGCCCGACAATTGAGACCTGTATATAAGAATAGACAGAATAGATAGTTCTCAACGATATCCTAAATAAAGTCTTTCTATAATAAACAATACATAGCTTGCTGTTCTATAAGTAAATCCTACCTGTCTTTTATGTCAACGGTTCTGACTAAATTGGCCTAGATTCATTAGTTGCTCTCCCGAACCGTTACAGCAGTCTCTCAAAAATGCCTGCGCAGCCTGCGCAGCGGCCCATCCCTACGCACATACAATGCAATAAAAATTATGTTTATACGCAGATTAGAGGACTACCCCAGATGCGACATATACATTTTAACTTTTTTTAAACCCTTGATTAAAAGTACTTTATTTCGACAATCACTCAACCAAATTCTGCTAAGTTTTTATTTATTTCTTTAATTAATTGATTATTTGAAACCGTAGAATTCAAATAAAAAATCCATCAAATTTGGTTGAGGTTACTTTCGATAAAAGCTCTGCCGCAGCATTTATTTAAATTTTTTAATGATATCGCGCAAATTCGACAATTGAAAATTAATAAACGTTTATTAATAATAATTTTTGTTAAATATAGCACAAACGTTAAACTAATATTAAAATGCCCATAAAATTGACGCATACCCAAAAAGACAAAAGAAAACGCAAGCCTAAACTCTATTCCTGGTACAACATTGTGTTCAAAGGCTGAGCTTAAAAGAAAATTCTTAACATCATAGAAGAGAATAAGAGAAAAAATACACATTTCCAAACTAAATCTCTATTTCAAGGTTCAATTTCGCATTCCAAAGAATTAGCCCTACAGAAGGAAATTATTAGTACGACTAGAAAAAAAAAAGGAAGCAATACTTACATCAAGAGTCCATTGCAGCCAAGGACTTAATTTTTGGGCTCAATTTCGTATTCTCAAGTAGCATTAGGTCAAATTCAAATTCAAATAAAAAAAGAAAAAAAAAAAAAAAAACATAATATAATACTTATCCCATTTCCGGGTTTGCTTGTGCACCCCAAAGACAAATTTGACCTACAGAAAAGTGTTAATATAGTTAAAGAAAATAGGTGCAGTGCACTAACAGCACGTCTAAAGGACGTAAAAAGGCGCGGATTTCGTGCAAAATTATACATATTGCCATGCATTGTTACGTGTTTCACGTATTTTTTACGTGCAGTAACGCAATTACGTATGACTACGTGTTTAAATCCTTTTTCATTTTTTGATAATTAATTTCCGTGCAGGATTGAATTACGTGCTCCTCCCTGCCAAATTCCGTAATAGTACGCGCATTTTCGTGTACTGATTTTTTATAGGGTGTCAAATCAAGATCTTTATTCCCAGTTTAATTCCGGATTCTATTTCACATTCCAAAGAATTAGATCTTTGTCCAAGGTTTAATTCACATTCCAAGAATTGGACCTATAGAAAGTGTGTTAGTATAGCGAAAAGAGAGATATAAAAAAAAGAAATAACGCTTATCACAGAGATCTTACCAAGCCAAGCCAGGATCTTCATTCCTGTGTTTTCAAGAATTAGACATGTAGAAATAAAGAAAAAGTTAGTATTATCGAAGAGAAAAAAAAACAATAAAAAGAACACTTCCCAAAATGCCCATTCCAGATCCAGTCAAGCTAAGATCTTTATTTTCGGATTCAACTTCATGTTTCAAAAAAGAACTGACCCTACACAAAAAAGAAGTCAATAAAGTCGAAGAGGTCAACTGAACGAGCAAAAAGAATGAATAAAATAAAAACAAATAAACAAAAATAGTGAATAAAAAAAATTTACAATCTAAATCTTTCCAAACATAAGATTTTTCGAATAACTCGTGTTTCGAGGAAGACCGAACCAAATAAACATCCAAATAAATCATAGAGATATGAGAAAACAAGTCAACTGATCGCGGTAAATGTTAATTCTCAAATATAAAAAAACTGTTCTCGATTCTTTTTTCTTACCCGTTTTCTATTATATATTTATCCCTTTAAAATTTAAAATAGTTACTAGTCTTTCAAAAACTTAATTTATTACTAAGTTGGCCGCAAGATTCATAATAATGAAGGTAGGGACGACACCTATCTTTCAGTGAGAATGAACCTTAAATCATTACTAGAGCCAGGAACGATGCCTGTTTTTGCGCGTGCATCCTAGAAAAAAAATGTTGCTATTAGAGATGAACCTATGCCCAAAAAACGAGCGCTTCATCATCACTGAGGTCAGAGACGACGCAATTAGGGACGACACGTATGTCCAAAAACGAGCGCTTCATCATCACTGGAGTCAGAGACGACGCAATTAGGGACGAATCTATGCCCAAAAAACGAGCGTTTCATCATCACTGGTCAGAGACGACGCAATTAGGGACGAACCTATGCCCAAGAACGAGCGCTTCATCATCACTGGAGTCAGAGACGACGCAATTGGGGACGACACCTATGCCCAAAGAACGAGCGCTTCATCATCACTGGTCAGAGACGACGCGATTAGGGACGACACCTATGCCCAAAGAACGAGCGCTTCATCATACTGGAGCGCTTCATCATCACTGGTCAGAAACGACGCAATTAGGAACGGTTCTATGTCAATATCCTGAAGATCAAAATCCTGAAGACACTAAATCCTGATACACTAAATCCTTAAAGAACAAAATCCCGAAAGTATAATATCCTGAAAATTTAAATCCTGAAAA